TCTTTCCCTGTTTTTCTCTGGCAACCACTACTTATAACTCCTTGCTGAATTCTACTTCATATACTTTTGGAAACACCCCCTGTTTGCATTCAGTGGGCCATGTCCTTCCTCTCACCAAAATCTCTTTGACTGTTCATTCATTTGAAAAAAATAAAATTTTTTTTTGAGCATTTAGTATGTGCTAGGCATTGGAAATAGAGAAGGGACAAGCTTTGCTCCATAGACTTTATTAATCTGCTTGGCAATACAAACTTTAGGCAAATAGTTTGGTGTAGTGAATGTTATGAAAGGGATAACATAAAAGGAAATTGTAAGATTGAATGGTGAGTTTATTTCTAGTAGGTAGGAGAACTACAGTGTCTTATCTTCTTCTTAAGTATAATTAGCTATTTGATGTCTTCCCAGAGTCATTATGTAAGCAATGAAAGTGAAGCCTCCTATGAGGAGAGCCGTTTACTTATTTATGTTACTTGCCAGAGGGCACACATTATTGCCAGAGAAAGACAGGGATAGAGGGAGAGGGAGATAGCACTCTTGGAAGGGGTATAGTCATGCCACAATCCAAGAATGACTTTGGAATAATAAGAATGCCCTATAATTTAGTAGGGCTTTATAGTTTACAAAGCACTTCCACAATTACTAGGATTTATCTCATTTCACCTTCATATGAATTATAAAGTGCTATCCTCGCTTTATAAATAAATAAGAAAAATGAGGCCCTTGCAAGTCCCCATTTCTGTTTTCAAAATAACTGCACTATCGTTAAAGTTCTATGAAGGTAGTGCTGGTCCCAAAGCACAGTGGTTAAACACTGTATACTGGGAGCCAGATCCAACATGGAAGACCACAGTTCAAATCCCAGCCCCAGGGACCAGCATTAGCGTAATGGCTATGTCGCTGGATTCCCATGTAGTCGACCGCGGTTCAAGTTCTGGACCTGGTGGCTTAAAACTCATGCCAGGCGCATGTGTGTGCGTGCCCAAGATCCCAAGAGGGGAATGGAGAAGGGATTGCGGCGTGGCCATCCCCCCTGGGGGGTGATTTCTTGCTTTCTATCTCTCTGTCTCTCTCTGTCTTTCTGGCAAGCACACACGCCCTATAGCAAAAACCTCTCAAAAAAAAAAAAAAAATCCAGCCCCAGTGACTTGTAAAACATACTGGGCACATATGTATGTGTGTCTAAAATCCTGATGAAATGGAGAAAAAAGATGTGGCATGACCACATCCCACTGGGCAGTCTTTCATTTTTTAATTTTTAATTTTAATTTGTTTGAATTGCCAGAGGGTGTGTGCACCTATGCCAGGTATGTTTTTCAGGCTGCCATGGCCAGAATTAGAACTGTGCTTGGCCATGGAGAATCTGGCTCCCAAGGCCAGCAGGCAGCCTGGTGGTTAAAGGTACTGGATTCCCACATGGCTGACTGTGGTTCGAGTCCTGGACCTGGTGGTTTGATTTCTTGCTTTCCCTTTCTCTCTGTCTCTCTCTAGTCAAATTGAAAAAAAAAAAAAAAAGATAATAACAAATGGAATTAAATAAATACACAATTCTTTAAAAAAAGAAAAGAAAAAGAATCAGGCTCCATTAGCCACTAGGCTATGAGAATACACTACCCTCTGGCAATTAAAAAAAAAAAAAGAAAAAGCTTGGTACTGTCATATCCTGATTTTTTTAAAAAGTATTTAGCAAATGTTTACTGAAAGAATGAATGAATACTTGACTAAATGTTTACTGAAAGAATGAATGAATACTTGACTAAATGTTTACTGAAAGAATGAATGAATACTTGACTAAATGTTTACTGAAAGAATGAATGAATACTTGACTAAAGTTAAATGAAATGCCTAGATGCCTAGTACCACACAGCTGATTAGCGGCAGAGAGCTCAAACCCAGGTGATCTGATTGCAAGTGAAGTGCATAACAACCTAAGGAGAAAGGTCAGCAGGAGGTGCTAGATTCCCACGCGGTCAACCCCACAGTTTGAGAACCACGCAGGGCATGTGTGCATATATCCCCAAAATCCTGAGAGGGTAATGGAGGAGAAGGAACTGTAGTGTGGCTATTCCCCCAGGAGGTGATTTCTCACTTTCCCTCTCTCAATCTCTCTCTGGTGAGTGCATGTGCCCTATGGCAAAAACCTTAAAAAGAAAAAAAAAAGAAGAAAAGAAAAAGAAAACTAAGGCGAAACATGTACATTAAAACATTTTAGAAATTATGAGTGATATCTATAAATGTGAATGGCTAATAAAGAATGAAAAGTCCAGGAACCAGCAGTTGGCATTATGGCTATGTCGCTGGACTCCCATGTAGTCAACTGCAGTTTGAGTCCCAGATCCGGTGGCTTAAACTCACATCAGGTGCATATATGTGCGTGCCTAAGATCCCGAGAGAAGAATGGAGGAGAAGGGATTGTGGCATGGCCATCCCTCCTGGGGGGTGATTTTTCGCTTTCTCTCGCTCTGTCTTTCTGGCGAGCGAACGTGCACTATTGCAAAAGCCTCTCCCCCCCCAAAAAAAAAGAATCACAAGTCTAAAGGAGAGATAAATAACTGTTTTTTGCCATCCCCACATTCCAAGAAATGAATTGCTTTTATTTATGTTGACAATGAAAATGAAAGAGTATTTTCTAAGAGCTAACTGTCAAAGACTCTACAGGTTCCTCTCCAAAGAATACTCAATACTCATTATTCTTCCATCCTTACTAACAGAACCTTGATTTTTTTGTGGGTAGCAACCATGCTCTGTGAAAAATTATATTTCTTATCCTCCTTTGCTGAAGGAGTGAACTTTTTACTGAATGTAGTCAGCAGGATATAGGCAGCAGTTGTTGGGTAGAGATACCAGAAAAGCTTTAAAAAGGCAGAGAGTCAGTTTAGCAGGACCTTCTGCCCTGCTCCCTTCTTTTAGCTAGCATTCAGTGATCATGAAATTAGAAGCTACAAGTCATATGTGACGAGGCAAAATGCTGGAAGACTATGGAGACACTACTGACACCATGAAGCCACTGTATCACTCTTAGAATGCTACTATGGATTCGTTTCTGTGGAAAAATAATTTCTCTCTCTCTTTTTTAATTTGCTAGAGGGCACATGCCCTCATTGGAAACAAGAAAAATGAGACAGCACCCCCCTGCACACACACCTCGGGGATAGCTACACCATAATCCCTTCTCCATTTCTCCTTTTAGGATTTTGGACACACATGCACATTTACCTGGTATGTTTTTCAACCACCAGCTTAGAGACTTGAACATGTAATAGGTCACGTGGGATCCAGCTGCCTTAATCACCACACCATTAGCTGGCCAAAATTTTTCTCTAGTAAGCCATCTTTTATCTATTTCAAGCAGCCAAATGCTGTTCTTAAGTGATATCAATTTTGCCTTAAATGTCAATCCTCTACAATGTTATTTTCCCCCAGATATGCTCAGTAACTTTTATTTCTGAATTTTACCACCCTTTCCCTTTGTAATAGGAATGCTAATCACCAACAATATAGTGATGACGATACCATAAATATTCTCTTTCAATAAATAACTCTTGTTGTACTGTTACACAAGAGGGGCAGAATAGATAGCTTGTAACATTTCTTCGATTTTTACATAGCTCAATGCTAATTCCATGGATTAATCTGTGTCAATTTATATTTTTCAAATAAAAGAAGGAGCATTTATGAAGTGATTTAATCTGTTCACGTAAGTCATTTGGAACTCTGAGTTAAAAAAACCCTCAATTTTAATTTGTACATAAGCCAATAGTAGAGCTGCACTGCTTTTAGTAGATAATTATTGTTACAGTTCCCAAACTGGGTTATCATTGCTTTCTGAAACTTCTGAAAAGGAATATAAAACAACATAAGAGAGGGCCAACCAGTGGTGCGGTGGTTAAGGCAGCTGAATTCCACATAGCCAAGTGTGCAGTGGAAGTCCCAGACCTGGCAGTCTGAAAAACATAACACGTGCATGTGTGCCCAAAATCCTAAAAGGAGAATGGGGAAGGGATTGCAGTGTGGCCATCCTCCCAAGGGGTGCTTTCTTACTTTCCCTCTCTGTCTCCGATAAGTGCATGTGCCTATGGGAAATTAAAAAGCAACACAGAGGGGAAAAAAAATCACTTTTTATCATTTTCCAGGTTTAAATATCATGCAAGGAAAAAAAAAAACTTTGTTAGGCCATATAATAATCTCCTACAAGATTTTTTTTTAAAGAATTACTTTATTTAACTTTATTTATTTATTTATTTTAATTTGACCAGAGAGGGACAGAGGGAAAGAGAAAGTGAGAAAACAAGGCACCAGGTCCAGGACTCAAACCACAGTTGGCTATGTGGAAGCCCAGTGCCCTTAACCACCTGGCCACCTGCAGGCCCCTGAAATAGTTTCTTAAGGATAGTATAGGACAGTATCAAAACTAAATTGCAGTTTTTGTTATCAAATATTTTTCTGATTAAGAACAGTAAACGGGGTGGCAGTGGCGGGGAAGTCATGACGGATTTTCTTTGCAAGAATATAGCATGGCTTTTGTGAAAACTCAGTATTTGCCTGCCTCACTAATTCCTTAGGATTCCTAGAAAAAAGTACTACATCAAAAGATAACATTTTAGGAGGAAAAAATGAACATTTCAGTCTCATAATAACATGTAGCTAAATTACCTCTATGAAGGAACTACAAAAATTCACAGAAAATGGAATTAAAGTGTGAGTTTATTTTAGTGCAAAATATATTTGAAATCCGTGCATCATTTTTTCTTTTCTTTTCTTTTTTTTTTTCATTTT